TATTGCCGAGTGAGTAGGGCCTTGTCACGATTTTGACATTTAACATTATTATTATTATTATTATTATTATCGTTCACCTAAAAGTTTAATTCATTATCTGTGCGAATTTTATATTGACGTGCGAAAATTCACATTATATACTGTAAATTAGTTATTGTTTCTTTAAAAAAACGTATACAAAGAAAAAATCTGGTATTAATTTTAGTATCGTACACTGTACTCAATTTTAAATTCACAAAAAAACAAAAAATTTTGAAAAAAATTATATCAATTAAATAGAAACGGAAAATGTAAAAAATTACACAATTAATTTCATTTAAATAATCTTATAAATATTCATTTTTAAACTCCATGAAGTTGACGTCGACGCTCAGCGCCGAAAATTGTTTTTTACTGGACTAAAAATGTCAAAAATTATTTTTTTTAAGATTTTCAATCCAAATAATGCCTTGAGAAATACTTTTCAAATGTATTATGTGAACTCAAAACTTTTTTAAAAATGATTTGATAATTTTGGTCCTATGTGAAAAATAAATTTCGACACTGAGCGTCGACGCCCAACTTAATGGAGGTTATTTTTATTGAATAAATTAATATCGATTATTTGAATCGAAATTTTTTTTTAAAAGGAAAATTCTCATAAAATGAAAATTGTTCTAAGGGAAAAATTTTGTTAATTATAAATTACGAATAGGGTCAGTTGGGGTAAAAAATGGGGACAAAATCGCTATTTTTCACAAATTACGTAAGTTTCTTCCTTTAAAACGTAATATTTGAGGGTTTATTTTTTTAAGTTGTTATTTACATTCCCAGGATTAATTTTATGCAGCAGAAAAAAATTTAGATAAGCTTTAAACGCATGAAACTGACTGTCCCCATTTACCCCAAAATTTAGAAAATTTCATAAAATTTTGGGGTCAATAGGGACAGCATAGTTTCTAAGAAAGTTTTAAGAAAAAAGTTTCCTTAAGTATATTACTGTATTAAGGGATGAAAAAAATTGAAAAAAAATTGTAGTAGATATATAATACACACTAAAAAAGAAATCTTGATTTCAGCCTATTTTTGAGGCTGAAGGTGTAAATGGAGTCAGACCAATTAAAAAAGGACAGACTTATGCAAAATATATGGGCTTAATTTAAGGTGTAAACGGTTTAGGACTTTGTTTTTACTGTGTAGTTGAACCAATTGAAATTTTATTTTTTTTTATTTTAGTATTTTGTCTCGCATTTCAAAGAAAACAGACTTAAAAATCATACCAAATTCTTTTCTTATTCCTTATGACTCCCATAACAGAAATTCACTTGAATTTTTGATTTTTGTTAATTTGGTTAGTAATGACAAGCTGTCCCCATTTCCCCCAAAAATTCGAAAACTCAGGGTAAATGGGGACAGCTTGTCATTATTAACCGATTTGACAAAAATCAAAAATTCAAGTGAATTTCTGTTATGGGAGTCATAAGGAATAAGAAAAAATTTTGGTATGATTTTTAAGTCTGTTTTCATTAAAATGCTCGACAAAATACTGAAACAGTTTGACTTTGATTTTCAAGTTTTTATGCATTGAGCGATAACTTTTTTTATATTGCTGCCAATTGTCAAAATAAAAGCTTGGCAATACTCAAAACCTCTTGCAGGTGATCTGAGGTTAAAATATTGACGTTTAACTTAATTTTAAAATTGTAAATTAAGCTCCAAAACCTCTTGTCCCCATTTACCCCAACTGATCCTAGTAGGTATACATATAATTTACAAAAATAAATTCTTAATTTTTAACATTTTATAAAAAAGCAAAATTTTCTCATTGGGATTTTATTATGAAGTTCATATATATTTATAAATAATATAGGCAATAATTTAACATAAATAAAAATGATTATCATTTCCAGTTTTTGAAATGTCAATTATTGTGAAATACATCATAATTAATATAAGTTCTTTTTATAATCGCACAAAGTAAATAAATATTCCATTTAACCATAATTCAGGAAATTTTTCACGCCTATGAAATTTCTATAATTGACAATAAATTAAAAACCTGTTTTTACATCATAAAAGAAGATAGAATTTTTGAAAAAAATTCTGTTACAAAAATATAATATTATAAAAATAATTATAAAAAATTATATTATAAATTAATTATAAAAATAATTATAAAAAATTATATTATATAAATAATTATTTTATAAGAATACTATACAGAATGTTCAAAAAGTTCGGCTTTGTTATTATATACATATTTTTTTTCAATGATTCAACAAAGAAATTTCTCAATTTCATATTAAATTTTGATTATATGAGAATAAGACAAGTTGAATTCATAGACTCTGAAGTTATATACAACAACTGTAAGGCTTATATTAAGCCTTATAGTACTAATAACAATTATTATGATAATAGTTTCAAGATTAGTTGGCGGGAGAAAGGTCAACGCCGACTGTATAATATAATTGTTGGCAGCAGCTATTGTCTGTTGAGAAAGCAGGCGTTACGTTACCGCAGATGTAGAAAAAAAAAGTTTTTATTCCACAGATAATATATAATACTAAATAAGAAAAAAATAATATTTTTTTTTTACTTTTATTTTTAAATCCAAAAATAATAAATTTTTTTTTAAATTTCTATAAAAAAAAAAAAAAAATTTATATGATAACTATTGTTTAGTTCACGAATTTCTATTTTTAACAATAATTTTTATATTTAACCAAATTTTTATTTAATGACGAATTTTTTATTTATCGAAATTTTCATTTCGAATTTAGAAAAAAAAAATTTGATCCAAGTTTCATTTAACCAAATCTAATTTTAGAATTTTTAATTATTTTATTTAACAACCAAATTTTAGTTTAACAGAAAATTTTATTTAGCCGAATTATTATTTAACTGAATTTGGATTTTCTCGCAGTTTCATTTAACCAAATTTTAATGTTGGAATTATCATTAAGCCAAAATTTATATTTAACTGAATTTGGGTTTTCTCGAAGTTTCATTTAACCAAATTTTAATGTTGGAATTTTCATTAAGCCAAAATTTCTATTTAACTGAATTTGGGTTTTCTCGAAGTTTCATTTAAACAAAATTTTAAGGTTGGAATTTTCATTAAGCCAAAAATATATTTAACTGAATTTGAATTTGTCCGTAGTTTCATTTCGCCAAATTTTTCTTTGCAAGAGAATTTAAATTAAAAAAAATTTGAATTACAGGGAATTTTTATTTAGCCGAAATTTTGTTTAACTGAATTTCAGTTTGGCCTAAGTTTCATTTAACCAAATTTTAATTACAAAGGATTTTAAATTTAAATATAAATTTTTTTGGCAAAATTTTTATTGTGCTGAATTTGAATTTTACTTTAGTTTCATTTAACCAAATTTTAATAACAAAAAATAATTTAAATTAAAACAAATTTGAATTGTAAATAATTTTTATTTAGCCGAATTTTTATTCACCCGAATTTTCATTTGACCGAACTTTTATTTTTATTTTTGTACTACAGTAATATTATATTTTTAGTTTTGATTTTAGTAAAATTTATTTTATTTTATTATTTTTAATTGTTTTATTTATTAAATAAATTTTGTAAATTTTTTTTTTATTTTTTATATTCTATCAAAAAAATATTCTCCCTTAATTTTCGTTTGAAAAAAAAATCGCCTTTTTGAAATTTTTTCTTATCTCTACAATAGCCAAAAATTATTTTTAATTCGTATAAAAGTTTCTCTCCAACGTTGACAATTCTTTTTTTTTTTTTTCTCTTAAAAACGTGATGATAATATTTATAAAAATAAAAAGGAAAAAGCATCAAAAGACTTACCAAGTTTTATTTTCAATTTTTTCTTTTTTTTTGCCTATAATTATTTAAACTTTTCTCATTTGAAAAGTTTTGTGAAATTTAAAAAAGCCATTTATTAAAAATCTTCTAAAAGAATAAAAGCTATTGGGAAAGGCAATTTAAAATTTTTCAACAATCTTTTTAAAACATATTTTTTCATATTATATATTCTATCAGAAAACTTTTTATGTTCTTTGCAAATCCTACCTATATACTCAATAAAGCCTTTAAAATCCTTTAGAATCAGTAAATTTCCCGCACACAGCATTTTAAAAGATTTTTTTTTTTTTCGATTTATTCTGTTTTTGTGACGCAATTCACACAGAATATTTGAAAATAATGTTTCTTTAAAAATTTAATAGGAATTTTTAAATTTTCTATTTTTTGATGAAAAAAAAAAAATTTAGTGTAAAAAAAAATTTGTTTTGTTTGTAAAATATAATTATAATATTCATTAATCAAACAAGTTTACTCAATATATATATATAAACATGTGTTTTATAATTTTAAAGTTTTAGGATTTAGAATTTGTAACTAATTTTAGTTGTAAAATTAATATATTTAAACATTTGACGTAATCTAATTAAAAGTTTTAACTACTTTCGAGCAAAATTGTAAATCGGCTCTGTAAATTCTGCTTGATTTCTAATAATTAACAAGCTTTCCAATTATTTTTCTAACAAGTTTTATTGTTCACATTACTAACCTGTTTTCTCAGAGAAAGTTATACAATTTAACTCAAGAGCTTTCATTAAAGTGAAAACTTTTTTCTTTCTTTTTTTTGTTTTTATTTTTTTGTTTTGACAATTATTTTCTTTCGCATAGTTTGAAAAGTAATTTACAGAATAAAATGATAAATATTTTTTTCTATCAATTTTTTTTTTGGTTCGATTAATTCTAATTGATTATTGATATAATTATAGAAGAAAAAAAATATTTTATTTTGAAAAAATAAAATTTTGGAGAAAATAGTAGAATTAATTTTAACATTGAAACTTTGATTTTTAATGATCAAAATATAAATTTTACAACGTCACAACTTGATAGAATTCCCCTTAGGAGAATTAATTAATTATAATTAGTTAATTATTTTTTTAAAAATATTTTTACTAAATATTAATTTTTCTTGACGATAATCTAATATACTGATTTTTTTTTTTTTTTGTTTCAGTTTCATCACCAACTCGATTGGCTCTGAATCGAACAACTGAAAGTTCGAGCGACAGAATTGCACCAGTACCAGAATCTCCTAAACCGAAGGTAAAATCAATTTTTTACGTTTTATAAATATTTTAATTTTTATTGTATATTTTTTTTTGTCTTTGTTTTCAAAATGCAAATGCTTTCTCATATACTTAACTTTTTCTTTTTGCCGGCACTTTTTATGATAGTAGAATGTCACGTGGCTTTCGTTGCTCTATATTAAAATCAAATATAATACAAAAAAAATTTAGCAAAATTAATTAATATATATTCATCCATACTTTTCTTGCCTTATAAAAAAAGAACATTTTCCTCTGACGATTAAATATCAAAATTCTATTACAATATATTTTTTTACACAACAAAATTTTTAAGCTACTAAATTTTTGTTTGAAAAAATTTTTATTTTCTAGTCATTTAATTTACATGAATTTTTATTTAATAAAATTCTCATTCAATCGAATTTTATGTGATTCGAATTTTTAAATGACAAAAATTCCAATTCACCGATGTTTAATATTTGTCCGAATTTTTATTTATACGAATTTTTATTTGTACGAATTTTTAAGACGCCGAATTTTTATTTGACCGAAATTACAAATTGACCGAAAAAACAAACGGCAGAAAGATTTCGGCGCAATTTTCAAAAATTGACCAATAAGAAATTATCAAGAAAATTCTGATTAGTCAATTTTAAAAATTTGCGCCGAAATCTTTTTGTCGATTGTTTGTTCGGTTATTTGTAATTTCGGACAAATTAAAATTCGGCGTCTTAAAAATTCGTACAAATAAAAATTCTGTAAATTAGAATTTCTGTCATTTAAAAATTCGAAAAAAAAATTTTTAAATAATAAAATTTACTTCAAAAATTTAAATTAAAAGAAAAAAAAATTTATTTCAAATATGAAAAAGTAAAAAATTAGTAAAAATTACTAAACGTTGGAGAAAAAAGTGGCAATCATTTTCGATGATCATTTTATTGTTTCCACACTTTGTTAAAAGCGCGAATTACATTTACATATAAATATATATATATATATAATGTTTAACCAATCTCGCGTTTTCATATTATATTAAATGTGTATAATTTTAATTAAATATTTAATTAAAACAGAGGCAAAATTAAGCAAAAGTCACTTTTAACTCGGATATATAATTTACGAAAAGCCGCCTACTCATGTTTCCAATTTATTAACAGGCTTTTGAACCGCGTGCATATATACATGTTATATATGTCATGTGTAATCCTTGAAAATTGTCTAATGGAATTTAATTTTCAACGAAAGTTTCAAGAAGCAATTAATGTTGAAATTATGATCCTCATTTACATTATAATATAGATATTTCAAGAATTAGACATACGTTAATATATTTCAAATTATATAATAATAATAATAATAATAATAATAATAAACTAATAAAAATATATAATTTCTCCTTCTCTATTGCACTCGGCATCTTGCATATTTTCCATTCATATATAATAATATAATAATACATAATAATCGCATTAACTAATATCAGTAGTTGAGTTTCCTTTTTTTTTTAAATAAATTAAAAATTAATCATTTCTTTGGTGTAGGAAGTTTAATTATAAATTATTTATATTATAAAATAGTAAATAATAATAATAATAATAATATATGTGAAATGTAATAAAATTTATTATGTGTTGTAGTATAGGTATTAATAACATATTGGCGATTTTACGATAGGAGATAACTTTGGTGTAATAGGAAAAAAAAAATAATTTTTCTTTTTTAAAATTATTTTTTAATAGTACATTAATTTTAAATAATAAACTTCGTATATTTTAGAAAGTAGACGATAATGCAAAAGGAAATAATTTTTATTTGTTTAATTAATTAAAAAAAAAATTTCCAATGTACAAAAAAGTCCGTTTATTTGAATATTTTTAAAACATTTGTTTCATTTTTTATTTGCTAAAAGATTATATTTAATTCAAGATTTCTTTATTTCGTTCCATGTCAGTAAAACAGTTATGATTGTTTCATCAAAAGTTGATAAAACAGATTTGACAGTTTTATCAAAAGTTGATAAAATATATTTCACTGGTTTATCAGTAATCGGTAAAGCAAATTGTACTGTTTTATCGACACTTGATTTTATTTTATTAAATGTCGATAAAACAGTCCAATCTGCTTTACCGTTTAGGGGCCGTGTACAAATTACGTAAGGCCAATTTTAAACATTTTAAACCCCCCCCCTCCCCCCATGTAAGGTTAAGTAAGATTTTGTTAGCCTCCCCCCCCCTTTCTTACGTAAGGTTTAAAGAAAATATAGGTCAAAAATTAAAGTTACGTATTATACGTTTTATTCTTAATGTTAATAAATTTTTTTAATTATATTTAAAACAAAGTTAACATAGTTAAACAGTCATTACTGTAGAGAACAAAATACATTTTTCAACATTATTAGATCATATATTATTGTAGAAGTTTACCGGCAGAACTGCCCGCAAGTTTTAAGAAATTTTTTAATATATGGTCTTACGTAAGAAAATCTTCGCACCTACCCTCCCCCCACGTAAGCGTCCGTAAGGATTTCATACACCCCCTCCCCCCCCTGAGGCCCTTACGTAATTTGTACACGGCCCCTTACTGATAAAACAGTAAAATATATTTTATCGAGTGTCGATAAAACAGTTAAATCTGCTTTACCGAACGCTGATAAAACATTCAAATATATTTTATCAAACGTTTAAACATTCATATATAAAAAAAAGTAAAATATATTTTGTTTTATTCTTATCGGTAAACGATCAAGCAAATTGAACTGTTTTATCGATACCTGATAAAATATATTTAACTGTTTTATCAGCATTTGGTAAAGCAGATTGGACTGTTTTATCGACATCTTGATAAAATATATCGACGCCACCCGTTGATAAAATCGTATTTCAATTGTCAAAACTATAGTATCGTAACTCGAAGTTCAGTTTAATATGAATATAGCTAATTTTCAGAATAATAAAATTGTATCTTAAAGTATCATTTTAAAATATTTTAAAATATTTTGTATAATTCATTTTATCGGACACAAAAGAATTAGTGAAAACTGTTTTATCAAGTGTCGATAAAAATGCAATCTGATTTATCGACTACCAATAAAACAATACTATCTGCTTTACCGAGCGCTGATAAAACAGTAAAATATATTATATCAAGTGTCGATAAAACAGTTCAATCTGCTTTACCGTTTACTGAGAAGACAATAAATATACTTTATCAAGTGTCGATAAAACAGCTCAATCTGCTTTACTGACAGCTGAATAATGATGAAACTTATTTAAGATTTTGTAAAATAAAAATATCAATTCGATCATAAAAATTAATAATCCTATTTTACGAAAGAAGTTTTAAATTGAGTTCATAAAAAAAATTTAAATTATTAATTAATAATTGAAATAAATATTTATGAATTTAAACCTTCTTTAATAATTAATTATTAATTAATAACTGAAATAACTATTTATAAATGCAATTTAAAACTTCTTTTGTAAAATAGGATTATTTATTATTTTTATATTAATAATTAATTATTATGATCAAATCGATAGTTTTATTTTACGAAAACTTAAAGAAGTTTTATTAGCTGTCAATAGAGCAAAATTGACCTGTTTTATCGACACATGATATAATATATTTTACTGTTTTATCATCGCTCGGTAAAGCAGTTTCGACTGATTTATTGGCAGTCGATAAACCAGATAGTTATTTTATCAGCACTTGATAAAACAGTTTTGGCTAATTTTTTTCTGCCCGATAAAACGAATTACGCAAAATATTTTTTTAAAAACTAAAATTTTTGTTTTCTTTTTATAATTTTTTTCTTAATTTATCAAAAATCTACAAAATTACTATACGACGTATCATAAAATCGCCTATATATTATTATAATAGTTATAATATTATAATAATAATATAATTATTATATTTATAATTAACCTCTAGTCTGTTTGTTTTGTTGAATAAAAAAGGTAAATTATTATCACATTAAGTCTAATAATAATAATTATTAACTATTTACTTTTTTTATGTATGTCTAACAATTTCTTTGGTTTTTCTCTCATATATATAATTAAAGTTTTTTTTTTTAATTATAATAAAAAATATGTGTTTTTTGAATGGGATTATTTTTTGTGTATTTTATATTTAATCTTCCTTTTTTTCCCTGACATTTTTTCTCAAGACAAACCGTTAAGATAATATTGTCATTTGTTTTTCTTTTCTTTTTTTTTTTTTTATAATACTACTACAGTTTTAAGATTACAAAAGGAGCGTAGGAAAAAGTTTCTGTAGTTCCTAAGCAATTTTCATTCTTGAATCATTGTGTTTCATCATCGTGATTCAGCCACCGACATCGCGGTACATATATATATATATATACAATAATACAATATATATATATATATATAGTGGGCGAGAATATCTCACAAAGGCTCATCTCTTTTAACTCAACTTTCAATCTCAAAGCCATTGTAAAGTGAAGTTCATTAAAATTACAAGTTTCCCTTTTTTGGACTTGAAATGGAATTTTTAATAGTTTCATCTCACTCTAATAGGTATATATATAAGATGCACTTTCACATTTTCTTAATTATATATATATTCATATTTTAATTTTCTTTTTTTTATGGTCTTCTATATATATATATTTATTTATTACTGCGTGTATATATTTGGATACAATTTATTATTAATATAAAGTTTAATTGCATTATTAATTTTTATAGCTTCTTTTTATTTTATATTTTTTTTTACTACTTTCTACGATATTTAACTAAAGTTTATTTTCAACACTTAAACTTTACATATATATATTGATATTTAGTTTAATTAACGTCATCTTAAATTTTATTTATTAGGTAGTTGAATTAATTTCTACTTTACTTAATTTTATATTATAATTTTTTTCTGTTTATTTTGATTTTATTTATTATTATTTTTATTATTTATTATTATTTATTATTATTTAATATTATTTATTAATTCTTTGTTATTATAAATTATTATTTTTATTTTTATTATTAATAT